ACTGTTTTTAAGCGATAGTACCTGATATCTTCAGATGGTTTGTTTCCACAGACTATCATCTGATGAAACTGATCCTCTGAATTTATCCACACTTTTCGGTACATTTTCTCGATGTCCGCTGTAAATACGTACTTATGTATACAAAAACGTAGTAGAATGGACATAAGTTCACTCTGAACTGTGGGTCCGGCATGCAGAATGTCGTTTAGAGACTTTCCACTTGTTGATTTACATGATGCATCAAACACGACCCGTAACTTTTTGCTGGTGCACCAAATGTTAATGTGTGTTTGTGTGTGTGTTTTGGTATGCATACGGTACATAAACCGTCTACAAATTTGTCGTCGCAACTAGAACTTGAACCAGTTGGACTGCGGAGAGGGTTTCCTACAGCCTCTGTTGATTGCAGTTGTAGAGAATGAGTGAACAGGCAGTGATGGTACTGTTTCTGATACTGATTTTATTCAACAAACTTAATTTCTATTTATAGGTAACAAAGGGTACAGAAAGTGCTGAGTCTAGTAAGAATATGGTAAAAGGGAATTGGAATCAATATTGAATTAATTTGGATTTAATATGATATTGTGTTATTGGGCAATTGTGATAGTCAGCAATTGCACCAGTACTTTTGCCCTCTGACGAGCGATCGTTGGCAGAAATTGCTGCAGAAGCGGTTATTGTTGACTCAGCTACAATGCTTTGTCGTTTGTTATTATGTCTCCCGTTACATGGGTCGACCTGACTTATTCGATAAGTGTATATTATGTTATATTAATTACTGCATAAATATGCGACTCAACACGAACGAATAGAATTTTTTTGGATCACTACGAAAATGTTTACTACATCGGGAAAGGTATTGATTATAACAAAGACTATTAACAGTGAGGAATTGAGAACGAGCGGAGGAATATTGGGCGAAGACAATCATAGATCCAGTATTCTGATACTTTTTATAGAGCCTAGTATTTCTATTCTTTAAATAAGACAAATTCTTGGAGAACCAAGGAGGTTTTGACGACAAAGATTTGATGACAGGAACCTATATATTAAGGGCGTCGTTAATAGTTTCATAGAACGAGTTGACTGTTTCGTCAATGTTCGGGAACACGTGGAGAAAAGACCAGTCAATGTGCGAGAGGTGAAGATTTAGCTCAGCAAAATTAGTTTTCCGAAAACACTGTATGCGGCTGGGTGCCATGGGATTGGCAGCGCAACTGGATCGGACACACTCAAGGGATATGGCTAAAGTTGGATGGTAGGGGTCTTCAGGAAATGACACTGGACTTACTCTGGAGACCGTAGCAAGAGCAGCATCACAAACAAACATAAGGTCAAGTAGTCTATCTCTACTATTTCGTATGGAATTAATTTGAACTAGGAAGACATCGGTAAGCCCGTCAACAAAATCGTTGTGGTAATTTGGTAGCAACAGGTTAGACTCATCACTAGGCAGCCAAGAAAGAAGTGGTAAGTTAAAATCACCCATGCCTACTGGAAAGTAAAATTCACGGAAACGACACTCCATGAAGTAATCTCGGCGGTGAGGAAAGAATACTAATTAAAAGCTTTCCTCGACATCGAGGGAGCTTTTAAATGGTCGTACCAAAGGCCATAGCCCTGACTGGCCTGTGGGTGGATTGTCGCTTGGTGATTGCTCCCATGCAGGACGGTAACATCATGGATGGGATCGTTTACTACGTTGCGTACCAACAGATGCAGCCGGCAAGGTGATGTCCTGTCTCCCCCTCATTGGAACATAGCAGTCAACAAGATTCTGTGTGACCTGGAAGAGGGTGGCTGCAAAGTAGTGGCATATGCAGACGACGTCGGCATTATCTTCTCGGGAAAATACCCTCCACAAAATAACCGCAAAGCTCGCATGACTATCAGAATGTATTAAAAAGCCCTCTACACCTGCAAAAAGGCCTTTGGTTTAAAATGGGGCATGAACCAAAGCATAGTCCAATGGAAATATCTAGCAATATTTAGCCGAATACTACTCTACGGAGTCACATTGTGGTGGATTGCCCTTTCAGGAAGGACAATAACCAAACAACTGGGGAAGGTACAGCGAACTGCCGCCCTATTCATCAGTGGAGCTCTCTGCACCACCCCAAATGATGCGCTAAATTCTATATTAGGTCTTCAGAGTCTTGACCTAGCCGGTAAGGAGCAGGCAGAAATTGCAGCAATTCGTCTAAGAGTCGGACCAATGGGTGTCACAGCACACTGGTCACTCATCCATCTTAAATGGAAACAATATTGTCCCCACAAAACGGACTACTACGTTCCGAGGGAGTACATAGATAGATGCTCCTTTTGAAATAATCATCCCTCACAGAAACAACTGGCTCGAGGGACCACCTGGTCCAGACGGAGCTATACAAATGTTCACTGATGGGTCGAAACTGGACAATAAGGATGAAGGGGGAATCTACACCGAACAGCTAAACATAAGAAACTCTTTCAGGCTCCCAGATCACTGCAGTGTCTTCCAAACCGAAGTCATAGCAATCAAGGAACCTTCATGAAGTTGCCACTACGGCAACTCACTTAAACATCTACAGTGACAGCCAAGCTGCGATCAAATCGCTAAATGAAATAAATCTCCTAACGAGATGGCTCATCAGTTTTTTACCAGCCTAATATGGGTCCCGGGCCAACAGGATATTGAAGACAACTGCATAGCAGATGAGCTGACCAGAACTGGTACTACAACTTCCCTTTTCCAAGATAAGGAGGACATTCGTATGCCAATGGGCACTTGTAAGCAAATAATAAAGGAGCACTTTAAGCTAATAATAAAAAATAGGTGGCAAACAGTGCCACAATGTCGCATAACTCGCCAAACATGACCTAGTATCCCAAAGAAGCGGACCGCTGAGCTCTGCAAGCCCAGCAGAAAAAGGTGCAGCTCAGTCATACGCTCCCTCACAGCACATTAGCTAATAGGCACCCATGCCAACAAGATGGGTGCCCCCTACAACGACTTCTGTCGTAGTTGTAAAGATGAGGACGAGGAAGGAATGGGGAAAGTACAATGGGCTGAAACCGGCCTAATTCTATCGGGTTCCTGGAGGTTCCAAGAACCGCCTCAACCTAACCTAACCTATCTTGATTCGTTCAGAAGTTATTAATTTAGCAAGCTGGTCCAGACAAGGTACCAAGTTGTATTTTAAAACACTGTGCGCAGTCCTTATACAACCCTTGACATATCTTTTCAAACTATCATTCGAACGGTCTTGTCTTCCAGTGATTTGGAACGAGTCATACATCATTCCGCTTTCAAAAAGGGTTCAAGATCTCACATTGAGAACAACCGATGTATTGCAAAGCTTTCCGCCATTCCATGCCTGTTACCAGGCAATTGCAACACCTATGCAGTGGTCTGATATCTCCATCGCAACACGGCTTTTTTAAACATCGATCAATATCGACAAACCTTCTCGAGTTCTCTTCTGCAATTAACAGAGGATTTCAAAGCTCACTGCTAACAGACGTAATTTTCACGGATTTTAGCAAGGCTTTTGACGCTCAACACGACCCTTTTCGAATTTGATGCTCTAATTATAATAATCTTTATTATACCCTAACCCCTGCATTATCCCTTAAAATTATATCCAGTAAGATATACCTGTACCCACAATCCTCTAGTTATTAATTATTTCTTATATCCCCTTTTTTCCTTTAATTTTAATCAACTATGATTAACTATGCTATTATATTAGCAGATAGTTGCTGATCTTCTTTCAATAAATAAATAAAATGAAAATAAAATAAAGCATTCTCTGGTACATTCTCACAGATGCTTGCGAGTGTATGACAAACACTCTCAAAAAGCTGTCAAAATGGGCTAGGTTAAAACGGAAATAGTACTTCTCAGTAAGAAGTACAAGATTCCGATAATGGTTCCCCCAAATCTCTGCTGGGAAACGATATCTTTTAGCAACAACAGCATGATAGAAAGCTCGATTGGAAATTGAGCATAGAGGAAAGAATTAAGAATACCCCATAAATTTCATGGGGAAAAAGATGGCAACACTCAGAATGAGAGAAGCAGAAGTATTGAAACCTAGTTTGGACACTGTGTAATCTTGGCGAGACTCCCACAAATACCAGAGAGGGGAGATTATTTTTTCCAGGTATCCTTAACACCTATGGTCGACTGGGAGAGGGTCGATCCTGGACCAGCAGGTGCGCTTTATATAAACACTGATGGCCCAAAAGTAGTCGTACACGTACCCGAAGAAATCTATTGTGAACTAGCCAGACAGGAAACTATTAAACTTCTTCTTTCGAAGAGGGCACAATTAGCGATGCCGTTGTCCACGCGCAGGATTCTCATGCACTAGAAAACAGAAGCCTGCAGAATCTTACTACTAGAAACGCTCTCCAGAGCTATACAGGTTCATCCAAATCTGTTATAACTGTCAAATTGGCATACACACACCGCCACACTGTCATTCCATCACAATGGCTTATGGAGAAGCCAAGTCCGGGGATCTTTTCGAAATTCATACACGATACCAGATTGGATGGACCTTAAACCAGTTTATGCTTAAGCTCATACCGCTCTCTCCCACCGCCTTAAAATAACCTAACCCAACCTTATCCAGAATTAAATTCACCTTTTCAAATTTCATTTTTCTAGATCAAATCTATAATTTAAAAAAAGTGTGTTTAAGCTATTGGCTTTTATAATTCTATTGATCATAAGACAAACAGGCTGACATTCCCTCACAATGACTTATGTAGAGGCCAATTTGGATCAATATGAATTGCCAACAAATTAATTTAAAAATTGCACACAGCTCTACGAATTTAATATGGAACTGTACTCTTTTAGTTTATATTCTAAAAGCCACCTTTCCCAAGTAATTCACAATTCATTGTAATAAAATGAAGTTTCAGTAATTTTCAGAATCTTCATTTTCTTTTTCGTCATCATTATAATAATCATCCTTATAATATAAGGATATGTTGGTCAATATACACACCTCATCAGCTACTCCTTGTGCTGAAATCTGCAACTCCTCTAGCTCTGTTTTGGGGACCTGAGGTCCGGCAATTTCTTCCGAAGGATCCGCAGGCATTCTAAAAAATATTATTAAGCTTTAATAGACGTTGAAAAATATTTTTGTATGTATTAAAAATTTACGGGACTCTTTTAACTTTTAGTTCTGTTTATAGTGTCAATATTCAAACCTAAATAGTGCGTAAGAAATTGAGCGCAAAGTTTTCCAGTCAACTTTAATCGTTGCTAAATGGCGTATGTATGTATTATCGAGAATATAATTATGAATATATGAATTGTTTCGGATTTTATGAAACATGTGACCTTGTTTTTGATTCGGCGCACTAGCACGCAAGTTGTTTTTAAATGCAATCAATATTACTACTCATACAAAATATTTTCTCTGATTGTTTACTATATGTACATAAAAATGGATGTACACATATGATATGAACAGTGATTTTACAGAGAAATACTCTGATTGTGTAATAATTTGTTTTATGATTTAGTATAAGATTTTGTACATGTAATGTGCATATACATTCTATATGTACATACCTGATTTTTTAATATGTTTCAAAGATATTATTTGATAATATTAAATGTTCACTCCTTTCTCCTAAGAAGTAACAAAATACGGCTGAATGCAACTACCGGACATAAAACTTAATTCTTAGATGCCTCGGTTTCCTTGCTTCACTTAAAGAGCTTTTACGTGCGCAGGTCTAGTACGCAATTCATAAAATAATTTTTTCAAGCTTTTGAGAAAGTTTTAAGGTAAGGTTCAACAAACACCATGACGCACATATCTTAGGGATATTTCCTGTTCAAAATTGTAAGTCGATATAAAAGAAAATTATAAATACTAGACAAAAGACAAAAAAGCTGGAATCAGACAAACGTTTTCTGATAGACCTAGGATTGCAAACATTTTTTAATGAATTTTGTTTTTTATACCCGATACTCAAAGAGTATATACCCGATGGATCTGTGTAACACCAAGAAGAAAGCGTTTCCAGAAGGAGTGCTTTTAATCAGTCTGTCCAAGATGAATTGAGTAATAAGGTGACGTCGTCGACTGTAGACCATCCACTTTTTCAACTCGCTCTCTAGGCTCTCATATCCAACTCTTTGTTTGTTGTTTTTTGCATATATTCTTATAAGCGGTCCTCGAAAGAGGTCAGATGTGGTGAAGATATTACCTTTGAGTAATTTCACCTTGAGTCTGTCTGTCCGTCCGTCCTTTCGTGCGTCCCGATGAGCGCCTAGATCTCAGAGACTATAAAAGCTGGAGCAACCAAGTTTTGTATCTAGATTCCTGTGATATCACACTGTTACAAGTGTATATAAATTTCGCCCGGTCCCTTCTACCCCTTCAAAAGACGAAACTCTATAGCATCAACAATTTTTAAAATACAAGGAAACCGAAGACTCATTCTTACTCATTCTCTCTCACAATCTAAACACACTCTTCCACGTTCAGTGTGTGAACACTTTTTTTACAATGTTGTATAAGGCCATGGGCGTGTTTTAGTTTAAAAAGAGGTGATCAAATGAATTTTATTACCCCTATATAACTAAGACTCTCTATATATAATTTGTTCGTCCGATTTTATAATACGGCTCTTGTGTATGGTGCCCCCAGTACAACGTACACCAGGACCGTTGTATGCACGACTTGATCAAGGGTGACGTAGATAGGCCCGATTTGTTCAGCTGCATAAACTTCACGATTCCTATTATATCCACTAGAACTTTATTCCGTTGTTCCTTCCTTCCTTTTCTGATAGATATGGAACTTTAAAAGTTTTTATAGAATTATGTTGTTTTTTTGGCAGAACTGTTTTTTGAATAATTTTTGAAGTCTGGTATTTTTTTTTAAAGATTTTTTCAGAGGTAGCGCTTTATTTTTTCACATAACTCTAGTATCTTACGTCTGGTTGCTATTTTGAAAAGATAATTAAAACATCTAGAAGTAAAGCTCAAACACTTTGTGATTTCAGCTTACCGTCTGGGAAATATAAAGCATTGAAATGCAAAAATTATGATTTTTGTGCTGTATTTTTTACGAAAGTTTTAAAAACTCAGGAAAAGTCGAAAAAAAATGATATCGTGTGTCCTCTATTTTTTTGTGTATTGCTCATTAAAATCTATCGAGACACTTTGGAGCTAAAATTCGTTAACCAAACCTAAAAAATGAACAAAAAATACCTTTTGGAAGGTTGCGTGCCCAACTGCCAATTGGGAACAAAGCAAACGAAAAAGGGTTGTACATTTGGTACCTGATCGCGTTCCTTTGGTATGAAATACATAATGGAAACCAGAAGCCGACTGTTCCCATCGCCCATGCTGTTAATATGAAGGAAACATATCAAACAATGGCTAAATTGTTTGAAAATATAAAGAACACCAGTGGAAGGTCGCGGGATTGCAAGGTGGTTACACAAAACCCTGCTGCTTCCAGTTTCTATGAGATAGTAGAGCTAGAGAACAGCATTACTCAAGAAAACTCTGGCCAAAACGGGAGGAACATACTTTGGAAAATTACAATGTACAGAATGCAGCTTTCGTGAAATTTAAAGACGTTATTTTACCACCATTACACATTAAGCTGGAACTAATGAAAAATTTTATTAAAGAACTAGATAAGGAAGGTGAATCGATAAGTTACCTAAAAGCTGTTTTTCCACGTCTATCGCTTTCAAAAGTGAAAGAAGAAGTATTTGATGGTCCCCAAATAAGAAAACTACTAAAAGATGATGGATTTCCAAATATTTTATCTATGAATGAAAAAGCAGCTTGGAACGCATTCCGAATGGTAGTAACAAACTTTCTTCGAAACAGCAAGTCTGATGATTATGTTAATTTCGTCCAAGAGCTAATTAAGAATAATAAACAGATCGGGGCATATATGTCCCTAAAAGTCCATTTCCTGCACTCCCACTTGGACTTTTTCCGACAAACCTAGGCGTCGTTAGTGATGAACACGGAGAGAGATTTCATCAACAATTAAAATCTATGGAACAACGTTTTCAAGGTATTTAGAATGAGAACATGATGGGCGACTATGTGTGGAATGTGTGGAAGACAGTCAGAAAACTTAAATTATTTTAAAAAATGTTAACAAGCATTATCAAACCAAACGTATCACTTATGTTTAAAAATTGTTAGCAACATAACACCAAATAAAAAAGCTTTTATATGATAGTTTTGTTTGACAAATTAATTTTATTATGACAAAAAAGCTCAATCAAGACCGACAGGATAACACCTTGCAGTAGTGAGGAAAAATACTGGCAATAACTGGTACTGGTAGTCCCTCTGTAGAGAAAATTAATCATATTTTCGCAATAATTTTGAATATGAACATTTGGCTCTGCCAAAATTTGACCAAATAATTACATTTTTTTTACCCCTTATTCTGTTCTTTATTAGTAAATAATGATTAGGGGTTGCTACCACAAAACAAAAATTTCCGTTTTTCGTTAACTATACATTTAAAAAACAAAAACTTCGATTATTTTAAGTAGGGGAGGTCGGGGTATTTCGGGCCACTATTTTAATATGCTCAGCAGGTGACCATTGAATCAAGTTTTTATGACTAATTGCCTTTCTTTAAGTCACAATATCTTTATCGAATACCTCTAATTTGGATGATAGCAGACGATTGCAAAAAAAATTTATGTAGAATTTAAAAAAAATTTAAATTGTACATTTTTTTGCTACATCTGGTATCTACATCTACATTTACAATGTCGATTCCACATCTTAAATGTAAATTATACATACACAATGTATGCACTCCGCAAAAGTCGCGCATTGCACAGGCCAAAGTGTGTGCGAGCGAGAAAGACAATGAGTAGCGTCAGCAGCGCTGGAGGAGGTGGGGGGAGCAACTGAAATTTAATTTCTTCATTCTAGCTATAATTATGATCCAATCTTAATCAGATTCGGAAATCTGGTAGATATGGTAATTCTCTACGATACTGAGTTTTTAGTTTTATCGTATCTTTAAAATTGTGCCTGCCACAGATTTTCGTCCTTTGTGGTGGCTGAAGGGATCGGGAAAAATTTTGAAACTCACTTGTAACAGTGTGATATCACATCAAGAATCTTTATGGGGTCCAAAACGTTTCCTTCTCTGCGTTAAATCTAATATACCCTTTAACTCTTTTTGAGTACGGGTATTTACTGTGAATGAAGTAAAGATTGGTGGAAATTACGAGGTTTAGACAATGACTATACAATACCAATATGTTGCGTGAACGTCCAAAAAGCTAATCAATGTCGAGGTGCTTTGTTTACAGACGGAGCGCGCGGGGTTTAAATTCTCTTTTTGCCAATGCCTCGTCTCTGACCATGACCCCGCTGCCCGACGGCTTCGTCTGTTTGTCAGAGATGAAAAGTGGCTTGTTTTCTCAAAACATTTGAACACTTCTAAGTATCAGTCAGAAAACTGATACATATTTATCTTATTAGTTATTTGTTTGGTGTCAGGAACCGCTTGCAAAGCGAAGTTCGACATGTGTTCTTAATAGTGCAAGCTGCCAGGAAGACCCGGGCTCTTGAACGGGGAGAGTATGTTCAGGTAAGCGCCGGCTCACGGCAGCAGGGCCGTGCGAAGGGGGTTGCTTTGCATCAGGCTCACATTTTCTCAAAACACGTTGCAAAATTAATAACTTTTAAAATTTTAGCACGTATATTTTCAATACTTAAAAAAAATGTTTAAAACAAATATTAAAGTAGGCGTGTCGCTTGAACGGATATAACTAATGGTTAAACTATTTTTACTCTAGAAAACAATCATCAAAAGTATAAATCCAATTGAAAAATATGCAAATAAATATTTGTATAACAAATCTTAATTATACCCGTACTCGAAGAGTTAAGGGGTATATAAGATATGTGGTAAAAGGTGCTGTGTGCAAGAAGGAAACTTTTCCGACCCCATAAAGTATATATATTCTTAATCAGTATCAATAGCCGAGTGGAAATAGCCATGTCTGTTTTTATTCCGTTCGACTTAGTTTTGAGGATAGCGATTTGCGTTGTGTCTTCTAAGAGATTTCAGCAGATTTCTCACGTTACAACTGAGTCCGCGTCTCTTATCGATATATAAGTGTACAGGGAGAGGATTAATGGTGTTCCCGCTTCTGGTGTTCCTTAGCAATACCGTATCACTCTCGCATCCCACATTCGGCCCTCCTGACGCCAGATTCGTCCCGAATTCTTTCAAATATTCAGCAAATTTCGATGCTTTGAACGGCCCTTCTTCTTCTCCGATCCTTTTAACTTCGTATAGGCCATGGTTATTAACTTTGACTATTTTACATGGCCCTAGGTACCTGCCCTTCAATTTTAATCCAGTCCCATACTGGGTGCGCTTGATGGCTACTAGCTCATTGATCTTATATCTCTTTTCTACCTTTCTTTTGGCATCGAAAGCTCGCAAATTCAACTTGCATATACTGAATATTCTCCCTTGCTTCCTTTCTCAAACTATCACGCTCATCATCTAATTCTGAAATCAGACAGTCCTGTATCAATTCTCTGAGCTGCACATTACCTGAAACACGCCTATCTAAGCTAGTTAGCAGTTTAAGTGGCGAAACTTTAGTACTCCTCGGCTCGGTACATGCTTATTCCAGCATCCGGAATTTCATGACTTTCTTTAGAAAGCATTGCGACAAC